AGAAATTTTTTTAATTAGAATACCAAAAGCAGTTTTATATACAAAATTTTAAGTTATTTTCTGTTTTTAAAAATTGCATCAATTTTATATTATATCTGATCTTTTATTTTAATTAGCTATATTGCCTTAGCACTATGATACTATAACACTATAAATCCCAAATTTTAAATATAAAAATTTGTACTTTTATATATCAAGATTAACACAAATTTGCCTAGGTATTACAAAGAATCTATTCTAATTAGCTAATTTTCGCAGTTTTATAAGATAAATTTCATAATAAAAAATTATATACAATCTTTAAATTCTAATATCTCAATGAGTTTTTAATTAATTTTAAAAAATTTTTACTGGTAGAATCACAAGAACCTATTCTACAACTTTATTTAGTAGCTTAAAATAAATTTAATTAATAAATTATTTTGTATTTTAAATTACAAAAATATTTGCCATCAAGTTTATATGTAATTTTAAAATAGTACACTCTACTCTTAATAAGACTAGGTTTCGTAAAAGAAGATCTCAAATTTCTAAGTATGCAGATCTTTGTTCTTAGATAATATTGAGAATATTGAATTTTGTATACTATAAAAGACTTAAACCCTGGATTAAATTATTCGATACCCGATCTAAGTCCTATATAAAATCTCATATTTTTATGTTATTTAAATTCCTAGAAACAAACAAGATCTGACATGCAATTTAGATCATATGTAATATTGATTTACTAAATCTAAAAACTATATTTACAATATTATAAACTATTTTTATTTGAGGTAGTGGTCTAATAAGCAAAAAGAAATACAAGAAATAGTAGTCTAAACTCACTGTAAAGTATTAGTAAAAAATATTAAGATAGAATATGACTTCTATAACTCAAATTGGCTCTAACTAATGATTTGTGAAATCAGAACTCTTAACAAAACCTATAGGGCATTTGAAGATTATAAATACATCACTAATTTATAATTTAATAAAAAAAATTTAATAAGTTTAAATTTACTTAGTTAACAGACTACCTCAATAAAGTATTTAATAAAAAACATATGAGACACTCATTACAACAAAATTAAGCAATGTTCTTCTTGATAATTTCATTAATTTTACAGTAGAGTGATCTTGCATATTAGTCTTGTTGTGGGTATTGATCCTGCTATGGGTTTAAAAAAAATGTAGAAAATATTAAAATTAATACAATATAATTATTATCACAACATTATGTCTTATACTCATTCATCCCTATTGATCTGGTTTATCCTACTTGAGTAGCACAACTTATTATATAAAATATATAAATAATTAATCATTCAATAAGAGCTTATTTCCTCATGCCTTATACTTATTTATTTCTAGTGGCTATTACCCTCTAGTTCATCCTACTTGAGTAGCATAGCTTATGATATAAAGTATGTAAAAATCATAAACAATGAGATACTTACTATAACAAAATTAAAAAAAAAAATTTTTTTTGATTATTTCACTAATTTTATGATAGAGCTGTAACTGAGATGACCTGATTGCTTATTGTAGTAATTTAAACTTCTTAAAAATATAACGGATAAGGATCATTATTATTTTTAAGAAGTTTTTTGTTCTTCACAAATTTCATATGTTCTCATTTTAATCTATATTAATATTAGAGTTTAAATTAATAGAAACCTAAACAAAATTTTCTATATATAACTTTCTAGTACTTGTGGAACTGGACGTAGCTAATTTAGATACAAAATTTAACAAGGAATTAGATTTTAATTTGATTTTGCAATTTAATTAGCTATGTAGAATTTTTAGTTTACATGACTAACGCAACAATATTTAACTATTTGTTTAACTATTAACAGTTAAACAAATTTTAATTTTCTAAATTTCACATTTTATTTTCATATTTCATACGTTTTCTTCTTTGAGGTTACTATTTATTTTTTTTTATATTTATATTTTTATTTGTCTATAATTATATTCAATACTAGTTAGTAGAAGAACTTTTTATAAACTTTATTTTAAAGCTATATTTGCTTCGAGCTTTGGAATAAAGCATAGAGAAATCTTACAAGTCGACAGGTAATCTTCTTCTGTTAGACATCACTTTTTATAAAAACTTTACTTCAATTTCAAAGCTACATTTTCTTCAGACTTTGAAGTATAGTTAGAGAACTTTACAAGTTGATGAGTAATTTTCTTCTGTTGGATACTATTTTTCGTTTAGTTCTTCTACAATGAAACATAAATATATATATATATATTTTTTTTTTAATATTTTGTAAATATAAACTATAATTAATAAATCTTCTTTTTCTCTTTTCTTGGTCTAGGAATATCTGCGTCACTACCGCTACTAAGTTCGACTTTTCTTCTCTGAGATATGATACTGTTTATTTTTTACACTTCTATTTTTATTTGTCTATGATTATATTTAAGGATCTTCTTTAGTATAGATAGGCAATATAAAAATAAACTATACTAATGATTAGTAATCATTAAGTTTTTAATATAATTAGCAGAGTTTGCCCACTTATACTAAAGAAAATCTATATTTAATACTAGTTTGTAGAAGAACTTCACATAAACTTTATTTCAAAGCTACATTTTTTTCAGGCTTTGAGATAAAGTATAGGAAAATCTTATAGTCGATAAGCAATTTTCTTTAGTTGGACACCACTTTCACATAAACTTTATTTCGAAATTACGTTTGCTTTCAAAGCAACATTTGCTTCAGGCTTTGAAATAAAGTTTGGAGAATCTTACAAGTCGATGAGTAATTTTTTTCTGTTAAACACCACTTTTCGTTTAGTTCTTTTACATGAGACATAAATAATAATAACTTTTTTTTTAAAAAATATTTTGTAAATTATAATTAATAATTTTCTCCTCCTTTTTTTTTTGGTTTAGACTCTTCTTCTAGTAGACTAGCCGTGATTCCATCCTTCTTTCATGCTGCACTTTCCTCTTTATTTAACGAATTTGAAGTTTAATATACTATTTTGAATATATATAGCATTATTACTACTTTATCGCGATGATTTTATAGAGAAATTAAGGTTGTTGAATATGATAATATGCTAAAGAAGAACCAGTTCAATACATACGGTATGTATCAAAATTTTCGCTGTTTAACATGATTTAACCGCAAGAAAACAGATATCTTAATTAACCTTATACCGTATGTTATATATAATTTCAAAAGTACTTTATAAAGGTAGTGACGAAAATTAAGGAAAACCATTTTAAGGCAAGTAGATCGCTGGTTAATTTATTGTTTACATATTATAATTTATCTCGATATTTTATTTACAAAATTTACTTATTATGAGTTAAATAAATCTATTTTACATAAGTTTTAGGTTACAATTGAATAATATTATTATAACTTTACACATGTCTTCTATACAGTATATGTTATACTATCGATTCCAAATTAGTTTTCGCGTTTAAAAATTAGCATATATAACGAGATGGTTAGTTTTGTAACATAACTAAGGTGAATTGAACATTTTCCGATTTCTAGTTTTTCCCAACTTGTGATTTAAAACAGTAAACCCTTCGTTTATAGAAATTATATAATTTTTGGCGGGTTCTAGTCAATTTTAACATTTAAGGCATTCGAATCTTATAGGCTTTTGGATTTGTACTGTTGACATCTTCGTTCATAGTTTGGTCGATTATTTATAGTAGTTATTTAGATCATTGGTTTATCGAGTAGATTTTTATACTATATCAGGAATAAATTGTACTTTTATTTCTATTAATAAATAAATAATTATTCGACTGAATTAGTTTTTCTTAGTGGCAAAATATACAGAATTCTCTTGGTCAATGAAATTAGGGTTGAAAAGAACGAACATAACGAATCGATTTATTATCGAAGATCTGACGCTTTAATCTATCTTTATTGTTAATGTCGATTGGTTGATAAGAACTAGAGGTTGGACCCGTTAGATACTGTATAGTGTAAGTGAGTCTACCAAAACCTACAAAAGACCTATAGTCTCATGCTTATTAAATTACCCGGGTTATCCGGGTAATTTACTATATATCTCGGGTTATCCGGGTAATTTACAATATATTTCGGGTAACCATATAACAGTAATTTTTACCCAGTTCCAATCCTTAATAAGAACAGTCTTTTCCATACAAACTAAACACATCAAACATACTGGATAAGCATTCAAACGAAAACTTAGTGTTGATGTTATACCGTAGGTGGATTCAGAATTAACTGACTTAGATGGTAATAAAAATAAACCCAGGAAATTTTATTTATTTCGAAAAATGATTTCCTAATTTAGTCAATTTTGAAGAAAAATCTCTTAAAAGACGGAAAATTTATTATTGCATTTAGTAATGTGCCGTTTATGTACGAGCTTAATTTAATGGTTTACCTGAACGAATAGAAAATACCTATCCCTGGTATGAAATGACCTCATCAATTCTAGAAACTATGCTATGACAGTATGAGTAATAATCAATTATTGTGAAAAATAGACTGTCATTCTATCAATTTATTCACATGTAAGCGGTTATTTGACCTATGTACAGTACAGTATATAAACAGTAATCTAATGCATTTGCACTAAAAGATAACTTTTTTCAGAAACATCAGTTATTGTCAAATTTTATACATCAACGCGATTCTGACAAAAAATAAATATGTATTTTTTTCAAATGGGCTGGAAAGGCCTTTAACTAATAGCAGCAGAAAAGCTAAGGTACCGAGATTGCTAATATATATATTTTTTAAGTGCACTAAACAACCTACTTAAATGCCTTTGATTCTGACTATTGATCATATAGACTTCTGAAACTGATTCATGCTACTATCATCATGTCACTACTATAACTAATTATTAGAAGTATTATCCGATAACTGTCGTATCCAGCCCATCTCTATAAAAAAATCGTATATCCTTGCTGTCTTATTAACATCAATTCTTATAAGACCTCTAGCTTGTCTTCTACGTAGAGTTCCACCAGATCGAGTCCATTCTTTAAGAATCGTTTCTTTAATCACCAAGATTTTGGGAATATCCGTAAAGTTTTCGTTCAGCCTCAGATAGTAGATGTACTCCTTCTTCATCGTTAAGATCTAATGCTTGTGGTTGCTTTCGCACGTTTAGTCTGATAACTGGTGATGCCGCTGCTGGAAGTGTTTTGTTACCGTAAGGTGATGATGATGGTGAGTGTTGCTGTTTTATATATATGGACGATTGTAATTTATTAAATAATGTTAACAAAATTATAAATTCATGGTCCGAATTATCATTAGAATATGATATAACGCACTTCATTTAACTTGGAATTAATATATCTTACTGCCAGACGATCACTATTGTATGATATTGGAATAATATGACCGTTATGTGGTCGAGCGGCTAGCTCTCGATCTGCTTCCTAAACAATTACCAAACAATAATTTGTAAAAATTCTTTTGATTTCTATGCATATAAAAATTGCATACCTTTTGCGCCTTTGCTTTTTCATACTTATCTGCTTCTTTTAGTGTCATTATCCCCATTTGACGATATTCTTTTAATTTTCTTATTTCGAGTCGAGTGCTTAGTTCCTCTAAATAATAAATAAATAATAATGATATATATGTTTTTGGTTTAATATGTGGAAATTTAATATGTGGAAATCTAAATTATAAAAATATAAATACCAATTAGTTCATCTCTTAGATCATCGAAATCTTTTTTTGCACAAAGATTGTGCAAATGGTCCTGATTCTATTTATCAGTTCCTTTGCTTCTTTAGTTTTAAATTTTTCTTCCTCGATTGCTTTCTATAAAAAAATAAAAACAAATTAAATTAATTAATTAATTAAATTAAAATTAATAAAACACAATTTTCGTGTTCATTAATGACCCATAAAGTAATCCTAGTCTTACATTTTTTTTGAAATCTAATAATCCGTGTTCAAATATCAGGTTTTTTCGCTCGGCACGTTTATTTAGTTTTTTATTATATATGTCCAAAACAAAAGTCTTCATTTCTATTATAAATTTAAAATTATTATTGACATAAATTATATAGTCCAAGAAAAAAATAAGTAAATAAACACACCGATATCTTGTGGATCATCTTGCTCATTTAGTTCAAGGTCCTTAAACATTTACGGTAACTTGCGAAATAAGATGGCTAAGCACAAACCAAAGGCTAGGCTAAATGACTCAAAGTTTAAAAACAAAAGAACTATTTTTAAAATAAATAAAATAACTTAAAATAAGTGAAAGTTCATTATAATTAAAACGATTATATGCTTAGAATCAATTCTAATTCAAGAATCGATTCAAAAATATGTGGTGGATTCTGAGTTGATGTTTTCCATATTTAATTTATAATGAGGATAATAGGAGCAGCTGAAGTTGATACCTCACTAGGTTGTGTTCGAAGAATAGTAGTTCGTGCTGGACTGCTGTTCATTTTTCGCTTTTTTATTTTTTGACAGTGGTATTTGATAAATAATATAGAAATCAATAAAGAACTGCTCAAGCATTGATTACAATTTCTATTTTAATTGATTGTAATAAATGAGCAGAATTATGATCACTAACAAATTGTATAGAAAAATTTAGCAAGTGCTGATAATTTTTTATCAGAGTCACAAAAGCAGTTTCATAGACGAAATTTTGAGATATTGATTATACGTGTATACGTATATTAGTGTACAAATAAAAATTCTCTAAAATTTAATTACGAATGTAAAGTCAAATTTAAAAATAAAAAGCGTAAGCAACAAAGTAAATATAATTTAAATACATATTCACGTGACGATCAAAAAAAATATAAATACAACTCGCATACGATAAAAATTTTTGGGAGGCTTGCGCAAATTGATCTGCGCAATATAGCGCACTGTTAGGTTATAAGTTAGTACCCCGTCCCATATCACGTTATTTTTTTTTTATATATCTATTTTATTTTGTTATTATTTCGTTATTATTTTATTATTATTTATTTTATTTTATTTATTTTAGCCTGTAAATAGTTTTTATTTATATTTTTATCCTGCTCATGCCCTTGTTTACGTTTAAGAACCGTGGTAGCAGTTAACATAAACATTAGAGCGAGCAGTTGGGGCTAATTACTTAAGCCATAACGACAAAATTGTAAAAAACGATAAACATAGAGGTGAGTAGTGTGGCTTTGTACTACGTGAGGCTTAAACACGACTGCTCACTAGCGAGAAGGATAAGCTTAGCATTAAAGAGTAGATTAGCATTATCATAGTCCTCCCCAAAAGAATGAATTTTGTATAAATATGGATCCTCTTCGCTCTTCCGAAAGGACCAGTTATCGATTAACTAAAAATAAATAAACCACTATTTACCTTAAATCAAATATCTTTAACTTTCCTAATTGTCAAATTCCCTAATCCCGCTATAATTAATAA